TAATATTTAAATATATATCGAGATATTCCTAATAAGCTACAGCTAGTAAAAAAAATAGATGTACATATGTAACGGTAAACATATAGATATATATATATATATGTAGATTATCTTTGTGCAACTAACTAAGGAGTAGGAGCAGGAGCAGGAGCAGGAGCAGGAGCAGGAGCAGGAGTTGGGGGCTGGGCGCAGGCTGAGGCTGGGGCACGCCCCACTCAGACAGACTTGATCAGGCGATCCTGCCGCTCGAACAGTTTCGTCTTATTGGCCAGCGTCTCGGCCGCCGTGGCAATGACACCGTTTGTGGCAGTTGCAGCAGCATCCGCTGCCGCTGCCGCTGCCGCTGCGGCCGTCGCCGCCTCCATGGCACGCGCCTGCATCTGCTCCTGGCGCAGGGTGGTGAGGCATTCACGGAACGCGAGCAGGAACTCGTCGGCATTCTCGTGATTGAAGCACATGGGCGGCTTGAGCTTGATGACGTTGTCGTTGGGCCCGTCGCTGGAGATGAGCACCTTGTGCAGCTGCTTCATGCGATTCACCAGCCAGTGCGCGGCCTGGGTGTCGGGCGAGCGCGTCTCCCGGTCGCTGACCATCTCGATGCCCACGAACAGGCCCATGCCGCGCACATCGCCCACAGACTCGAACTCCTGCTTCAGCTGGCTGCACTGGCGCAGCAGATATTCGCCCAGCTGCTGGGCGTTCTGCTGCAGCTGCTCCTCGTCGATGATGCGCATCACCGCGTTGGCAATGGCGCACGAGACCGGATTGCCGCCGTATGTATTGAAGTAGGCGATGCCGGTGTCATGGAAGGCCTGGGCGATTTCGGGCGTGGTCACCACAGCGCCCACCGGATGGCCATTGCCCATGGGCTTGGCTACGCACACGATGTCGGGCACCACGCCCTGCGTCTCGAACGCCCAGTAGTGGCTGCCCACGCGCCCGAAGCCCACCTGCACCTCGTCCGCGATGCAGACGCCGCCGGTACGGCGCACCGCCTGGTAGGCCGCCTGGAAGTAGCCGGCGGGCGGCAGGATCTGTCCGCCGCAGCTCTGTAGGCTCTCCGCGATGAAGGCGGCCACGCCCTGGCCCTTCGCCAGCTGGCGCTCGCAAATGTCGGCAATGGGCTGTGCATAGAGTGCGCCCAGATCAGCATTGGGATAGAGCTTGTCCGTGAACTGGCCGCCGTAGATGTCCGGGCACGGAGCCACGTGCACGTAGTCCGGCTTCTTGGCGCCGCCCGGCTGATTGAACTTGTACGGCGAGATCTCCATGACGGACTGCAAGTGGCCGTGATAGGCGCTGCACGGGGACAAACAGATGCGAGGGTTAATCTCTATTCGATATTTGGAATGGGCGGGGTGGGGGGAGATGTCTTACTGGTCCAGTGTGATCACATCCTGACGCTTCGTGTAGTTGCGCGCCAGGCGCAGGGCCAAGTCGTTCGCCTCCGAGCCGGAGTTGACGAAGAAGCAAACGGACAGSGATGGCGGCATCTTGCTGGTCAGCGTACGGCCGCACTGCACCAGCTCGTCGTGCAGGAAGCGATTGTTCGTCGATATCGTGGCCATCTGCAGGGCGCCAGCTCGCACCACCTCCGGATGACAGTGACCCACTGCAAGTGAGAGCAGACGTGAAATATCTCATTATAATTTATGTGCTTGGGCTGATTATGAACCACTCTGAAGCGGTCCTAAGTGGAAATACTGAAAGCGGTTAGCGTGGTTCACTGACCTCAGCATAATCTCTCGGCTACGGAAAGTAACAACTGTCAGTTGCTTCCAAGATAACCTCAATGGTTCAGTTTTTTAAGCTTAGCCTAATGAGTCTACCGGGAGACCGTACTTAACTCTAGGAATAGCTTAAAAAGTCTATTTGAGTGCTATGATATCTATGATGTATTAGAGTGGTCTTTAAAGAGTTAGATCTTAGGTCAGTTGGCCCAGTGATAGTGAAGATCTATAGGTAAATCTGATTCCCAAAGCAATGTTGAAGTAGGAGCAGCAAGAGGAGGCAAATGAGCAATGAGGGGTAGAAGCTGTGGCGGAGGGGCAGAATGAGGAGTAGAAGGAATAGAAGACAGAAAAGGAGACAGATGAGGAGTATGAGAAGTAAAAGGAGGAGAATGAGGAGTAGAAAGAGGAGGACAATGAGAAGGAGAAAAGATGACGAGCAGAAAGAAGAGGAGAGAGGAGGAGAGAGGAGGAGAGAGGAGGAGAAGAAGAAAAGAGTTAACTAGAGTAGAAGTACGAAGATAAGAAGAAATGGTGAAGGAGCAGGAGGAGGAAAAATTAAGGATAAGGGAAGAATGAAGAGAGAGGAGAAGGTGTAGGAGGGAGGACAAAATGAGAAGGAGGTGCAGCAGTTGCAAAAGAAAGAGGAGAAGCAGATGCTACAAAAGGAGGATGATGAGCAGAAGGCGAATAGTGAGAATGCAAAGTAAGAGCATGAAGAGGGGAGTCAGAGCAGTAGCAGGAGGCGGAAGAGGAACAGTGGCCAAGAGCTACTCTGCCCTACAGCCCTTGAAGATGCGCATCAGAGGATGCCATTGCATCTTCATAGACAACGGACAACGGACCACGGATCACGGACATCCGCATCCGCAGCTGGAGCCGGATTTGCTTCGAGCCGTGCCTGCCTATGGGGATGCCATGTTGCATTTTGAGTCCACGCTGCGCCAAGCCAGATTCGACAGCAATTCCACACAGATAAGCGCCGCAGCGAGCCACTGTGGACGGGGATAGCTGACTGGCTAGCTGGCTGGCTGGCCACACGTGAATGCCATGAATAATGCTTATTTTTAGGCACATTCGAGCGGGCGAACGAACGCATAGTTAGCGAGCATCTCTGATTGCGAGAGCTCAGCAAAAACACTGTCCTACAAAATGCGAATCACTTGAAGAGAGCGAAAAGCAATTCACAGCAACACTCCAAAACTCTCTATATAGATGAATATTTATATGAATTTACGTTTTTCTCTATTTAATGTGCTTAGAAAGTATATTTAATACATATGTAATTT